AAGCTGATTCAAATTAAATTTTCTTAAACATGTGCTCTGGCTCAGAATTTCAGCCCAGCGGAGGATTTTTTTTGTTTTGTTTTGTTTTGTTTTTGTTCTTAATAAGAAATGGCTTGGATATAATAAAATCACTCAGTACAGGGATTCTTCTGGTGGTGTTCTATGGAACAAATTGCCAGGAATGTCCCTTGCGTAAGGCTCATCAAAGTAAACAGCGTTTGTGCGAGAGTGTTTACCTATTCATTGCACTGAGCATTGCAATTCAGCTTTCCATAGAGTGCGCCATTGCTTAGCAGCATAGTGCAAAAGTCCCGCAATCAATCAATCAATCACTGATTTCCAGCAAGGACCCCCTTTGTGTAAAACTGCCGTCCGCAAAATGCAAAAGATTGGAATGGGTGCTACCCATGTCACAAGATAGGTATTTGATGTGTTGCTATGTAAGTAGGGCTTCAATCCTACTTACCTGGCAGTAAGCCCCACTGAACACAGTGGTACATATTTATTTATTACATTTCTATCCCCCCTCTCAGGAGCTGCAGGTGGTGTACATGGTTCTCTTCCTTTTCATTTTTTCCTCACAACAACCCTGCGAGGTAGGTCAGGCTGAGAGGCAGTGACTGGCCCAAGGTCACCTAGTGAGTTTCATGGCCGAGTGGGGATTTGAGCCCTGGTCTCCCAGGTTTTGACTGACACTCTAACCACAACACCACACTGGCTCTACTTCTGAATAAACATGCATAGGATTGTGTACACTTAGCAGGTATATATACAGTGGTACCTCGGGTTACAGACGCTTCAGGTTACAGACTCCGCTAACCCAGAAATAGTACCTCGGGTTAAGAACTTTGCTTCAGGATGAGGACAGAAATCGCACAGCGGCGGCATGGCGGCAGCAGGAGGCCCCAATAGTCTAAGTGGTACCTCAGGTTAAGAACGGACCTCCAGAATGAATTAAGTTCTTAACCCGAGGTACCAGTGTATGTTGTTGTTGCTTAGTCGTTTAGTCGTGTCCGACTCTTTGTGACCCCATGGACTCTTCGTGACCAGTGTATAGGGAAGGGTTTTTTAAAAAATGTTTAATGTTTTATTATGTTTTCATATATGTTGGAAACTGCCCTAAGTGGCAGGGGCAACCCAGCAAGATGTGTGGGCTAAAAATAGTAAAGTTATCATTATGGAATGGGATGCCCCTATTTTCATTGGAGAAATGTTGGAGGGTATGGAAGAGGCTGGGTGGCTCTCCTGCTTGCAAAACACAGCAGCCTGTTTAACAGTTATACAATGGAAATGTCAGAGGAAAATGCAGAAATGGACCATGACAGTTCATGGACAGCAAGGGGGATGGGGAGAGGGAGAAAGGAAAAAAACAGTAGAAGCTGGACATGACTAGAGGGCTGTGCCAAGCAAATATTAAAAGGACTAAACCTTGTCACTCAGCATTGAAATGAAATGATTACATAATTGTTTGCTCACACAAATAGTTCTCTCCCCTTTAGGCAGCCTGCCATGGTATCATATGGCCTGATTTCGGATGCCATTAAATGAACTAATTGTGGAAAAATAATGGAAAAAATGCTTCCTATTTTCCTTGGAAGCTCTTTGCTCTCTCAGCTTTGGCTGTTTGGTTATTCTTCTCAGGTGGAAAGGTAGAACAAGCAATGAGGTCCAAGTATATAAAGCAATAGCCTTAAGCTTGTCATCTACTAAATTAGAAGTAGGGCAGCTGGCACTGCTTCAAGTATCAAGCGCAGGAGCTTGAACATAAAAGCTTGGCTGTTGAATCGGGCAGCGGTGGGGAGAAGAGACCGCAAATTACTGCTTTTGGCCTCATCAAAGCAAACAAATCAGAACAACAAAATAGCTGCTCTTGTCAATAAACTCTGCTACAACAACCAAGGTGGCAAGGCAGCAGCCCTGCCAACACTCCCCTCTTTGGGCCTAGTTAGAGAACAATTTGTCCCCTGGGGAAATCCAATTAATTTCAGTCTTTGATTTGTCTGCACATTCAAATGGCAAGTCATAGGCTGAGGGGCTTTGGAAAAGATTTCTCACAATATCCTCTGGTGAGATCAAGAGCTTCTTTGCCCATTTCTCACTTAAATCATACAAACCAGGAATGAGACACTTCTCCATTCTTAACTGCTCCCAGGCCAGAATGGATGAAGCGGGGGCAGGAGGGCCAATTGGCATGAGCCTATGATTTTGAGGGGGCTTACTCCAAGTGCCTCTGGTAAAGTTGAAATGGGGCCTATTTTTATGGACACATGGCCCCAGTATATAATTTTTGTATGCATTACTTGGTTGGAGAACTGCATTGCAAAACTGAGAGTGTGATTTTCAAAGGATGGCTGTGTTTCAGTTCTTATATTGTTTTGGGAAGTGCAAATTATGTAGATTTGCCTTTAAATGTGAATTGTATTAGATCTGTCCCCCATCCCGACCTGCAAATAACTCAAGATAGTCCTTGTTTCTGTAGACTTAGGCTTTTATTGGGTGTTCAGGTATTCAACTGCTGTGTAATTGTTGCCTCTCAAAATCAGAGATAGAATTAATGTGTGCTAGGTCTATTAAGGCTGAATTTTATACAAATAGACCCTATGTGAATGTTCCTTCCAACGTAGCCCTGTATACTGGAGAAAAGTTGCCTCTCTCCTCCCCCCCATATTTAGTTAAAAGTGCATGTCCTTTTGTTCACATAGTGGGAGATTTTAGAACGACATCATAAGCTGAATTGAGCTTGTGCGGCAACCCTTTCCCCTGTTTCTGCTACCTTGGGCAAGCAAGAAAAACACAGAGTTTCTAAGTCCATCCTTGGACTGCTATGCATAGCCGGTTGGCTGCATTTTGACTTGGTAGGTCACCAAAGTGCAGACCTGAGTTACTGATGTCTCCATTGGGGCTATCATGTATTAAAAGGAGATTAAAGTTTCCTAGTATTAAGCCGGACTCCCTTTAGGCATGCAGAATAAGTCGGAAAGAACACTCCATGCTCACATGGTGGGAACGGAAATACTGTTTCTGTAAAAGTTTTACAAGTCGTACTGCATCGACCTTGTGGTGCTTGTCCTCCTTGGCAGGTGCGAGTGACAGGTGACACAGATGCTGACAACTTGAACATTAGGCCCAGTCCTGTTTTCCACTATGAAAAATAAATCAAAGTCAGTTACCTTAGAAACAATAATTTGTTTTACCCTTGGGGATAAAAAAGAGGTGAAGTGGCTGAAGAATGCGCCTTGAGAATAAGTGTAAACCTGTTAGGGCTGGAGCGTAACAAGATCTAGCCTGACACCCAGGGAAAAGTTACAGGGCTCATGTACAAGGGCTGCAGGTATTGTGTATCTGTCCTTGGTTCGCTATAAGAACTGTGGAGGAATGCAAAGAAAGAAAGGGCTGGTGCAGGCACAGATGGAAAAGACATGCAAAGCACTGTACAACTTGGTACACTGCATTTAGATGCTTTGTGCAAGGCCCCGGGAATTTCAAAGGAGATGGGCTTCCCTCTCCACTGGTTTGCATTTAACACTGCACAATGCTTAGTATTGTCATAGATCTAGGGTACCAGAGTGTGTTAGTAAATGGTATATATTAATAAACAGTAGTATTTAAATAATAAAACTAAGTGTGCAGCAAATCCTTAAGTCACAAAAGCAGAATTCTCTTAGCTGAATAAATCATGCAATTTGTATTTATACATTTATTACATTTTGATTCCATCCTTGCTTCTTCTGTCAATAGTGTACTTAGCTCCTCTGCACCCTGTTATAGGACAAGCCAGAGTGTTGGGTTGATGTCTCCTTCTGCCTTTGCACAGGAAATGCCTGAAGGAACTTGGTTCTGGAGAGAATATGTCACATAGAGTGGCACATCACTCTGTTTTTCAAACTACAAACCCAAGAGTTTTCAAAACAACCATGCACACACAATATATCACGTTCTCTGTTCACAATACTGCTGCTTTTATTCTAACCCTATTTCTGCAAATCTCACAAGAAATTAGAACAGTGGTGGGCATCCTGTGGCCCTTCAGATATCAGTGGGGTCCAGTTCCCATCATCCCTGATCATTGGCCATGCTAGCTGGGGCTGATGGGAGTCCAGGATCATTTGGAGGGGCAAAGGGTCCCTACCCTTGTCTTACATGATACAGACACCCCATATATAGAGAAGGAGGATGTTTGTGCAAGCATCTTCAGTCGCAATCCAGAATTTTACTTTAATGTTTAATGGGCTTGTCCCCTTGAACTTCTGCGTAAAAAGTTCCCTTTCTTTCCTCCATACTTTGGCTCTGATCAAAGGAAATGCTGAATAAAATAGTTCATCAATCCTGGTACAAATAGTTATGTTCTCTCTCATCTAATGTGACATAAAACAAAACAAAAAACCTTAACTGAATGCGTGACAGAATATCCAGCCCCCATATTCCCCTCTGCTGCATCTAAGGAGATAAGATCACGTTTTTTGCTCTTGTTTAGGTGGCACTAATCTTTAAATCTCTGTTATTCAGTAACCAAGTTTTATGTCACAGTATTTCAGTGTCTTCAAGACATTCCCAAGCAAAGGAAAAATGAACCTCATGTACTCTGAGCAGTTTTGCATCACTATGCGCAGCGGAATATTCAACTGCACAGGACAAAAGGTCAGGGCATGTAACTTTAACCCAAAAAATTTGGAAAACTACAAATGAATGCTGGAAAAAAATGTGACAAAATAATTCAATCATTACAAAGGGTGCCTGGAATGCGAGCAGGAAGGAGACAATAGAAAGGGACTGAGAGAGCATTTCATAGGCTATTATTCTGCTTCATAATCTGCTGGTAATCTGTTTTTTTATTCAGTTGAGTGGGCCAAGGACCCAGTAGCACAATGCTGCTTCTACACAGCCCTCATCCATTTCAATGGAGCTTGAAATGGATGCAAATGTTTGTGGGCACACGCACTAAACCCTGTCTGTGGTGCCTACCCTTTCCCCCAAAGAATTAGACCAGAGACCAGAGTATGGGTTCAAATTGGCCACAACTTTATTGAGCTTCAGAAGTGGGAAACTTGGCACAGACCTTGGCAGGTAACCCTCTCAGCCCATCTGGCTGAGGATATGCAGGCTGACGAGGTGCAGTGGGAAGGGGACTGTAAAGCACAAACTCCCGGGAGTTTGACCTACATGCCGCCGCTCTAGGGCTAGGGACTCCCAGTTTTGCCCTTTAACGGGCCCTGCAAGTGCTGCTGCATGGGAAGGGAGCATGAATGCATCCCCCCTGACTTGATGATAGACTAAAGGATACCTTGCCAAGGCCTAAAACCACCAAAGTTGTGACGAAATGCTATGGGGAAGGCGAAACCTGCCAATGCAGTGAAAATTCCTTCCCAGTTCTGAATACAGCAACCATCTTACGACCGCAGCAGCGCCCGCTGACCTGGAAGGAAAAAGTAAGGAAAAGGTATCGTTAACTTGATGACCGCTGACCTAGGATGAAATTATTTGGAGGAAAGAAATTATTAATTTGAGGGAGGGTGGCTGGGTGATCCTGGATGGAAGAAAACCAAGTGAGGCTTGGTCAAAAGGGTCAGCCTCTTTTCTTTGGCCTTAGCCCCACCCTCGGCCGGCCGTCCATTATCCTTCCTGGCCGAGGGTGGGTCAAAGGCCAACCCAAGCAGGTGGAAGGCACCCGTCCAGGTGAGCCCCCACTCGGTGCTGCAAACCCCGCCCACCTGTAGGGAAGGGAGGGTGGAAATTGCAGTTCTAATGTAAAGTTAAGCTATGGGCTACAATTCCTTTGCTTTCGCTTACATATGTCCCTAAGGATACAAGTTGTTTGCAGCCTGTCAGCTTTCTGTACCAGTGAGTATGTGGCAGAGCATCTGCTTTGCAGAAGGTCCCATGTTCAATTCCTGGCCTTTCCAGGTAGAGCTGGGAGAGGCACCTGCCTGAGACCCTGGAGAGCTGCTGCCAGTCACCAGATACAGTTCCTAGGATGCCATGTGATTGTTAAAGTGGTATAACTGTGCTTTAAATGTATGGTGTATCTATGGCCTCCACCCAGAGAATGGTCAGAAGGCATATAGCCTGGTTCTACTAGTAAGCTAAGAAGGTCTTGGGTCTTTTAAGGTGCCCGGGTGAAAGACGCTCTGGAGCAAGACCAGGGTATCTGTTTAATAAATATTTGTTTGTATGTATCCTGCTATTTCCCACACTGAAGGTTGTACAGTGGTACCTCAGGTTAAGAACTTAATTCGTTCTGGAGGTCCGTTCTTAACCTGAAACTGTTCTTAACCTGAAGCACCACTTTAGCTAATGGGGCCTCCTGCCGCCGCCGCCGCGCCGCCGCCATGAGATTTCTGTTCTCATCCTGAAGCAAAGTTCTTAACCTGAGGTACTATTTCTGGGTTAGCGGAGTCTGTAACCTGAAGCGTCTGTAACCTGAAGCGTCTGTAACCTGAGGTACCACTGTATGTGACTACTGTAATACCTCTGAGTTGGTAATTCAGACACCAAAGCAGTGAAACCCCACACAGCTACTTGCTTGGTGTTGGCAAACTTTCGCTTTGTTTGTTTTGTTATTTTACTGTAAATATCGAGACCATAAAACGCAGCAGGTAAAGCAAGGAGGCTGCTTTTCTGACTTTCTGATCTACAAATGACATTACATAAGAATATAAGACATGACATAAGGCGAGGCTGCTGAATCAGGCCAGTGGCTCCTCTGGTCCAGCATCATGTTCTCACTGTGACCAACAAGATGCTATGAGATGCCTGCAAAAAGCAGGAGCTAAGCAACGCAGCACCTTCCCCTCCTGCAATTTCTAGCAACTGGTATTCAGAAGCATATGGCCTCCGATCGTAGAGGCAGAGCACAGCCATTGTGACTGGTAGTCATTGACAGTGTGCATGCACACGAAAGCTCATACTACTACTACTACTACTACTACTACTACTAATTTATTATTTGTACCCCGCCCATCTGGCTGGGTTTCCCCAGCCACTCTGGGCGGCTTCCATAGAAACCAAAAACACTAAAATATCATACATTAAAAACTTCCCTGAACAGGGCTGCCTTAAGATGGCTTCTGAATGCCAGGTAGTTGTTTATCGTTTTGACATCTGATGGGAGGGCATTCCACAGGGCGGGCGCCACTACCGAGAAGGCCCTCTGCCTGGTTCCCTGTAGCTTTGCTTCTCGCAATGAGGGAACCGCCAGAAGGCCCTCGGCGCTGGACCTCAGCGTCCGGGCAGAACGATGGGGGTGGAGACGCTCCTTCAGGTATACTGGACCGAGGCCATTTAGGACTTTAAAGGTCAACACCAGCACTTTGAATAGTGCTCGGAAACGTACTGGGAGCCAATGTAGGTCTTTCAAGACCGGTGTTATGTGGTCTCGGCGGCCGCCCCCCAGTCACCAGTCTAGCTGCCGCATTCTGGATTAGTTGTAGTTTCCGAGTCACCTTCAAAGGTAGCCCCACGTAGAGCGCATTGCAGTAGTCCAAGCGGGAGATAACTAGAGCATGCACCACTCTGGTGAGACAGTCCGCGGGCAGGTAGGGTCTCAGCCTGCGTACCAGGTGGAGTTGGTAGACAGCTGCCCTGGATACAGAATTGACCTGCGCCTCCATGGACAGCTGTGAGTCCAAAATGTCTCCCAGGCTGCGCACCTGGTCCTTCAGGGGCACAGTTACCCTGTTCAGGACCAGGGAGTCCTCCACACCAGCCCGCCCCCTGTCCCCCAAAAAACAGTACTTCTGTCTTGTCAGGATTCAACTTCAATCCATTAGCCGCCATCCATCCTCCAACCACCTCCAGGCACTCACACAGGACCTTCACTGCCTTCACTGGTTCTGATTTGAAAGAGAGGTAGAGCTGGGTATCATCTGCATATTGATGGACACCCAGTCCAAACCCCCTGATGATCTCTCCCAGCGGCTTCATATAGATGTTAAAAAGCATGGGGGAGAGGACGGAACCCTGAGGCACCCCACAAGTGAGGGCCCAAGGGTCTGAACACCCACCCCCCCCACTTTCTGAACACGGCCCAGGAGGAAGGAGCGAAACCACTGTATAACAGTGCCTCCAGCTCCCAACCCCTCTAGACGGTCCAGAAGGATGTTATGGTCGATTGTATCAAAGGCCGCTGAGAGATCCAGCAGAACTAGGAAACAACTCTCACCTTTGTCCTTAGCTCGCCGGAGATCATCAACCAGTGTGACCAAGGCAGTTTCAGTCCCATGATGAGGCCTGAACCCCGATTGGAAGGGATCCAAATGGTCCGCATCCTCCAGGCGTGCCTGGAGTTGTTCAGCAACCACACGCTCAATCACCTTGCCCAAGAATGGGCGACTTAGTCATGCTGGCCACATGATCCGGAAGCTGTATGCCGGCTCCCTCGGCCAATAAAGCAAGATGAGCGCTGAAACCCCAGAGTCAGTCACGACTGGACCTAATGGTCAGGGGTCCCTTTACCTTTACCTTATTCTATGCAGGAGCTCAAGATTGCATTTGTTTCCCTCTCCTCTTCCTTCTATATTTGCAGTAGCCCTGTGAGGCAGGCCAGGTTAAGTTAATATATTTACAGAAGCAGCAGTATTTGTCAAAATACTGTGGGGCAGGGAATGCCAGGAGCCAAATCCACACACACTGTATCTAGCCCAAGAGATTATTTTAGTATCTCTCCTTTTTTGGGATACAGGTGGCAGAGCAAGAAACATTTGTATTCCTTGCTAAGACTGCACATTCTTTACACAATAAACAAATAATCTGGAATGGCCCTGAGTTATTGCTGTGTTGCAGCATAATGGAAAGTTAGTGATCAGGTACTTATCATTTTTCAGTGTGAAATGGCACATAGTGTATCACATTGAGAATAATCTGCAGTACACTGATAGTTGTAATGAATAAATAGTAAGAAATGCATTGATCCCCAAAGGGATCTATATGCAATGTTGGATTCCTTGTTGAATGAGTGCCTTTCTTTCTTTTAAGAAAAAGGTTCTCAAACTACCACACACAGGTAAGTTTCCAGTGGGTCAAAGGGATTAAGTGTGGTGATGGAATCAATTGTGTACATTGGGGGATGATGATCAAATTCCACCAATAGCATGTTAATTATTTAAAGTCTGTTAATATTTCATAATAGAGGTTCAGTTTCTCTGATCACTTTACTCTGAGGAGGAAAGATTCTCAAACACCACCAAAATACCTTTCAGTAGAGCTCTAACCCAAATGTTACTGCACAAGGGCATTCAGCTTGCTTTAACAATCAGGTTGTTCTGCCATGTTTCATATGAGAATATGCTCTGCATTTGTCTGGAAATAGGTAATACTGTAAAAGCCCATTATGAAAGCTGCCGCTTCCCATTGTCACTATCTGTCAATAAGAGCAGAAAAACGCATACAAAGGCAAATATTTTGATAAATGCATGCCATGAAGTGGTTTATTTATTATGAGAATAGTCATGCTCAGAAAGCAAAAACAGTCAATTCATTATTAGAAGATGAATGCCTCACCATGAGTTGTCATGTGTTTCATTTTGGGAACGTTGCATGTTTATGAACCATTATTCAAATAGTACAGCAAGCCTGCAACTTACACACATTTAACTTGTGCTCATTCATCTTTACATATGGTGCAAAAAAATCGAAAATTTAAAAGGGGGCAGAAAGTGGGTGGGGTTCAAGGAAAAATGAACCCAGTGTGTTTTGCTGGCTTACTTTTTTGATAATGCAGGATATATATCAAGAAACATTCACAATCCATGAACAGCAGTGTTAACCAGCTCAGTGATATCCATTTCATTTGGGGGGGGGGGCGGGGGGGAATTGTATTCACATTTGTATTGAGAGTCACTCAGTCTCCAGAAGAAAAGATGCCTATAAAATGGACACAATTACATTTCAATGTTTTGTTTGGTTTTAATAAAATAACCCACCTGTAAATGCATTTTTCAATTTATTTCATTGAAAAGAAAATAGTTGTTATGATGAATTGCTGCATCAATGGTACATTGGTACATTTAACTAGAGCTGTGCAAGGCCTCCCACTTTGCAGCCCAGTTCAGTCTTTCAGATGAGCTCCCCATTTCATTCAGAACCCTTGGGGGGCTTGCTTCAAAGCTTTGCTCCTCTCATTGATGTGCATTACGAAACCAAAATGACCTTTAATCACTTTATGGTTTTAATGTTGTGCAGAACGTATAGTACTGAATTAGCTGTATTCTGCCCTGGAATACTTTAGGCTGAAGGGTAACCTAGAAATGGGGCTGAGGGCTGAATAAATGAATATGGCAGTTCCACTAGGGCTTGGTGGTCTCTGTTATCATTCCATCTACTTCCAATCTTCGGGGGGAGAATGGCATTGCCACCCACCCAGAAGGGGAGGGTATCAAAAGGCATGGGGAACACCAAGGCCTGCAGATGCACAGTAAAAATGTTATGGGGGAAGCATGGTGGATGGGGCCAAAAACCCAGTGCAGCAGACTGAATGTATTCTGTGGCCCTATGATGAGAGGAGATGGAATGGGGTGGCTGAGGTCCTGAACAACAGTCCACCACACGGCAACACTGCTGCAGTGCATACTTGTGACTTTCTAACAAAAAGACCAATGGAAGGAACTGAATCCTTTGAGCTATGGTGGCTCTAGATCTGGTTCAGAATGAGCACTGAAATGTCAATCATCATGCAAATGTTAACAGAGGAGGGTGACTTTTGATGTGCTTACAATGGGCAGGAAAGTGTCTTCATTTTTACTACTACCACTGAGAAGGACATTGGCATCCTTCAAAGAAGTATAAATGAATGAATGAATGAATGAATGAATAAATAAATTTTAGAAAGGGAAAAACGTTATTGAAATGGGAGAACTAATGCTGGTTTTCTCTTCTTCGCTGCCCTCTCACCTGGGCTCAATAAGTGCAAGGCAGGAGTGAAAGATAATGATTTGCAGGATTGCACTGATGAGTAACACTTTCCAAAGGAAAACTGCCATCTGTCCAAAGTGTTAGGAAAGTGTCCTGGAATTGCTTCAGAGTTCAATGTGGCACTAAGAGACAGACTGAACCTCCATCGTCACGTGTAACTACTCTCTGACTTTTTCAAAGCCAAAAGCATCCTCCAGCGTTGCAGCTTGAAGCAGAGGAGGGGCAGAAGCATAGCTGTCAATGTTTCCCTTTTTTAAAGGGATATTCCCTTATTCCGAATAGGATTCTTCACAAGAAAAGGGAAAAGTTGACAGCTAGGGGCAGAAGGAGGAAGCTGTTTTCCCCTCCTCCCCCTCCAGTCAGGTTACCCACATCTCTTCCCTCCTGTGTGGAAAAGCAGCTGGGGTGTGTGTGTGATTCTGAGCAGAAAATGAGCTGAAGGAACTGCTTGTGGTTTAGGCAGGCAGCCCCATAAGCCATTCCACTGTTGTAGCTCCCCACATCCCCAGTAACTTTTCCTTAAACAAAACAGGGTGGGAATGTGCTGTAAATGTGTGCTGCTTAACATCTAGGTTGCCCTAAAATACAATAATAATGGAAAAAAATATTTCTAAAAATTCCTAGTATCAGCTGCTACTGGTGAAAGAGAATGGGCATTTATTTACTTGTTTGTTTACATTAGTCACATATACCATTCCTGAGGCATAAAGGAGATGAATTAGAATGCCACCTGTCACATAATAGCAAGATTACCCGAAAGGACACATCTCTGTTCAAAAACAAGCAAGTCTTGTGGCAAACAGATTTATCCTGGCATAAATGTGCACCAGGATACAGTGGTGCCCCGCAAGACGAATGCCTCGCTAGATGAAAAACTCGCTAGACGAAAGAGTTTTCCATTTTTTGAGTCGTTCCGCAAGACGAATTTCCCTATGGGCTTGCTTCGCAAGACGAAACGTCTTGCGAGTTCTTGCGAGTTTGTTTCCTTTTTCTTAAAGCCGCTAAGCCGTTAATAGCCGCTAAGCCGCTAAGCCGTTAATAGCCGCTAAGCCGCTAATAGCCGTGCTTCGCAAGACGAAAAAACCGCAAGACAAAGAGACTCGCGGAACAGATTAATTTCATCTTGTGAGGCACCACTGTAAACATGTTTGCTGTTAAGGTGCCACGAGCAGTGGCGGAGCTTCATGTTTCGGCACTGGGGGGTGGAGAGCAGGTGAGGGCAGGACTGGCGTGTGTCCTGGGGGCGTGGTGCGCCGCATGAGGGGGCGTGGCGCCCAGCATGGGCAGGGGGGCAGTCGTAATGGCACCCCACTGGGATCGCGCTGCCGGGGGCAGTGCGCTCCCCCAGCACTCCTCTTCCTCCGCCAGTGGCCATGAGGCTGTGTTGTTTGTGTTGTGACAGATGGAAATATCTCCCCCTCCCAGATGACAGAGCAGTTATTAAAAGTTTCAGTAACTACTTTAGTGTTTAAGCAATTGGTACGAGCAGCTCATTCTAGGGGCCTGGGCAGTGTCATGCCCTGAGCAAAGTCCAGTTGCCACTTTCATGGCAAGCAGCATGGAAGTGAATGTGAAAGCAGCCTACTGATCTTTGAAATGGGAGGTGCAAAGTCACCCTTCACATGCTAAGTAACTTGTTTTACTCTTTTCTTTCTCGTGCACCCAAAGTCCTTTGCAGAATGCCCAGGAATGGAGGAGAAATTCTATTTGGTTTGCACTTTGATGAGAAACTACCAAATTCACGTTTTTAACCAACACACACACACACACACACACACCACCTATCCTTCTCTGAATTTTGCAATGCTGCTCTCTAACCAATGGAGATATATAGATTTGGGGCAAGTGTACATAAAAATGCATATATGGGTGAAGGTAATGTATGCAAAAATGCATTAGAGAAAATCACAGAAGGCTTCTATTATTCAAAATGGCATTAAAAATGTGTTCATTTGACAGTCATGCTAAAATGCTTAACATTTTCATGAGGAATATATATATATATATGCAAATTGCTGCAGAAATGTGGAAAGCTGAACATAAGACTGGAAACATGAAAAATGGAGAGAGACTGAATTTGAAGTATTTTTCCATCCCTAGAACTGCCTAACCCATTCACTCTGTAAAAGTTGGTTTTTACTTTCTGCACAAATGCTGTGTGTATTTGATTTTAAAATGCCTCTGGTCCACTTCCTATTCCCTATTAATATCATTTGTATGACTGCATGGAATAAGCTCAATGATACCTGCAGTGACATGTGAGAACACTCTTACACCTATGTCCACTTCCCTTATCGTGGGAGGAAATAGGTACTCAAGCCTGTTGTTCCTCATCCAATCTACCTGAAAAGCTCAGCATGTGACGAGGTTCAAGCTGGTTGTTCCAGCTCAACTTTGTGCCTCTCTATGGCCATTCCTGTGTTCCGATACCAATATTTACAAACTTTTACCACTTTGTAACTAAGCTGCCTGTGCAGCTTTCTGAAGCACATGAACCAGACCTTTGACCTTTGAAGAGTTTGTAAGTAAACCAGTCTTTAACTTATCAGATGTGTGGTCTTTTTCCTATGTTTTGGAAAGAAACCATTTAA